AGTGGGTAATTAAACTTTTGAAGACAATTGCAGGTGGTTCGAGTTAAGATGTAGGATTGTGAAGGAAATAACAATGAGGGAGCGATTCAAACCAGCTGCTGATGAATCACAGGGTACAGCGACGATCTATATATACATATATACCTACTGAAGTCCATGACGTCACAGACGTACGGCAATCAAGCCATTTAATAGCAGGGGGCGCAAAGGGTCTAGACTTTATTATTACGCTGTTTCAGCAATTTATAGATCAACAAACACAATTCCAAACACAAACAAACGTGTAGTCCCTTCAGCCCTTAACGGAAAAAGCAATGCCATTAAGCGCGTAAACATTCCAATGTATTCGAAATATGCCCGTTAAAAAGCATGTCGGCGGTGCGCCTTTACCTGCGCGAGTTGCTTGTTCGGATCACAAAGTCGGGCATACCACTTCTGGAAGCAGTTGAGTTCCGGTATTGGCTGTCACATACCCACCAAGTGGAATGGCCTCAAGCCTGGCTGTTCTTTCCCTCGTACTGGTTTCCAGATGAACAATCATGGTACAGCCCGTGCCACACGAGCTGTAGGGAAGTGGATTTAACCCCATAGATGGTTGCGCAAACTTGATGATGGAAGGCAGGACTGGTGTCGCGCGTTTCTTGCGCGGTCGCACTCGATAATACACTACTAGTACTACTACGTCTTAGCTGTAATATTGCTGACGAGAAGTATTTTATCGTTTTCGTCATATTCAGTGTCAACTCTTGCCTTTAAAAGAAACACTGTGTGAAAGTTCGGGCATTACGTTCAGACAAATAGCCTAACATTGACAAACGATGCATCATAAACAGGGAAAATATTGCATGGAAACACGTTTCAAGACAACAAGAAGCAAACGAGCCTATGGTCCCGTCATCCTTATCGTAATCTGTCTACCGGACCACAGAATATAAATTAAAAATGGAATAGAACGCAAGTCTGGAATGTTTTAGAAAGTCTAGAATGCCTCAGGCTGAAACTAATTGATTGTTCGCGGCTCCATTTGGATTTTATTTGATTATTTAGATGATATCGGTATCGTCACATCGTACACAGCTACTCTGGCGATTGCAGAATCGAAACTGCACATCGACAATCTGAAATGCCGTAAGCGGGAATCAAACCCGACCGTGATACCGCGACCGGACTAACAGAGCCACCTTGTCTACACCCAATCTCCAGCAGGTCAATTAGCACAGCGGGGTAGGCTCAACTACGTGGCATCCATTATGCAATTGTGGTGGTCAGAAGACACTATCTGATTAGCTCCACGTGTAATCACGCCCCCGGGAGCGTAGATAGCATCACAACGGTCTCATGTCTGGCGTTACCGACCACATACAGTTCACGTCAAGCCGGATACCATACCTACATTAATGATGCACACAGGCCTCATTAAAGTTGTAACGAGTGTGTGTGTGTGACAGTAAGGTTCGTATGAGCGCGAGTCAATGGAATGATAGTGATAAGAATGCAGTATTCATACGTGAAATGTACTATCTTCCAATCCTCTGAATGCAATGGCATTGGATCCTGGAGTGTCTTCGATGCCATGGAAACGTTAAACCTTCTTGCTTCTAAGGGAAGAGCTTTCGAATTCGCTACCAAAAGGGTAGACCTGCACAAACCTCTAAGGCAAAACTTATATAAATAATAAGAACAAGTTGTCCCTATGAGAAACTGGCGTCTTTCTGCTTATCTAGACTTGCTATTACAAGGACTTAATTGCTACACACCCATAGACTTATCAGTCAGCACAGCCTTGGAGCAAGGCTACCAAAAGGGCAGCAGATAGAAATGTGTTGATATTCTGTAAAACAAACCCTTGCTAAACCAGTGGTCTGGTTTAATTCGGAGCTCCTAGTCATCAATAATACGTAGTCTGCAATACGGATGTCTAGAATAATGTGTTTTCGGTTTAATACACGTCGTGATCACGCCTTCCCATAGCAATGAGAATAGTAACACATTCGGTTACAACTCAGGGGCGGAGCCAGGATTTTAGGAGAGGGGGTGTCCACTTTGGCAGTAATAATTTTACTGTAACAACCAAACCAACATTTTATCATCATCGTAGGAAACGCGCATCCAAAATAAAATCAGATGTTAATAAGAGGGGGTGGGGCAGTTCCCCCACCCCTCTGGATCCGCCACTACAACTGTTACAGTTGTAACGAAGCACCCTAAAATGAATCTTTACTCGACGCCTCTTACCCAGAAAGAACTGGTGTGTTTAAACGATCCAATTAAAACAGCTTTAAATAAGCCCAAGTTAACCGTCATGCCAAGTAACGTTAAACTGCGAAATGCGTTGAAAATAACATCAGTGTATCCGAATGTCACGACAGGTTGATAGCGAGACGCATAGAGGGGGACGAGGCTGCAATTGACAATCGTTGTCTATATCATTATCATGTCAATCTCGAACACGCAGCAGATCAGCTGACGATGGGAATGTCTACTACAGTCCCGTTTGCGGAAAAAACATAATCGTTTTGTGTAAGCTAACACATTTGTTTTATCGCTGTGTGTTTTTTCACAGATCTGTGGCCAGCTTGGTGCCAAAATTTCGTTCGCGCTTAACCTTGTGCGTGTTGTGTGGTGAAGCTGTGGAAGAGGTTTTGCGATATGACATGTTTGAGTTGGAATATGAGGTTCCATGTCTCATTGTTTAAAGGATGATGTTACGAGCGAGTGTCAGTTCTTGTAACGCAAAACGTACTCCGTGGGCACTGAACTACTCAAGACCGTGAACAGAGCGGCTTTATCGCACAGACGATGTCTACGCTTGAAGGCTACACCTTCCAACAATGAATATCGATGTATGTTATAAACATAATTGTTCATTTATCCTTTACGTTTCTGTTTCATCTACAATATGTACTACCTTCGTATCGCACATCCGACCCTGATACCGCGTCTGAACAGCCGCACCACGTTAAAAGGTTTTATTTATTACCCGAGAGGAAAGTTTTTGTTTGTTTCTTAACGCCGCACTCAGCAATATTCCAGCTACATGACGGCGGTCTGGAAGTAATCGAATCTGGACCAGACGATGCAGTGATTGACAGCATGAGCATCGATCAACGCAATTCCGAGAGGAAGGTACGGTTTACCATTCCAGGGTCCTCGGCCACGCGTTTGGACTATAACTCATTCCAGGCTTGACCCATGTCCATCCTGACCATGTCTGAGACTGATTCGTACAATGCTCATTGTATTTCACGTATATAAGTGAATTTGAAATGAACATGACGAAGAAGATAAATGTCAGGGTGAGACTTGCGCCCGTATCCCCCCTAAATATATAACTAAAGGGATTGATGGGCTATGCATACACATACAACTTTTGGAGGGGGATACGGGCGGAAGTTTTTCCAATGTCTGATTCTAAGAACTTTGGATGAAGTTCTACATTCTTAATTCATCTTCGAAGATGTTGGGGTATTATTTCAATGGGCGACTGCCGCGGACATGCACCGGACACGCTTCTGCTGCCAAGGGTTTCTCATTGATTTTCTCCAGATATTCCATGTGCGGTGGAGCACAAGATGCACGTGAAGTTCGTGGAATGATGTATCAAGATTTGTTTCCAACAAGTCTCCCCGAGAATGTTCATCGTGTGATATTGCAGCTCGAGCAAAACGTGCGTCTCGTGACGAACACAAGTAACATGTTTTCTCCATAACTCAACCACTTACAAGATCCAATGCCTCCCACCATCCAGCGTCTACTCTCCTCCCACCGCCGTCCCCACCCACGACTTCCAATGCAAGCTAGATCACTGACCCCATGTTTCACATCCCCACAACCGAGCACTAACAACAGAAAAACTTAATCCTCAAAGCCCACCGCAACACCTTGTTCTAAGAGCGTTTCTATATTTCCCTTTATAACAAGGCTGAATCCCAGACGAGTTCAAAGACTGCACAGAAACACATTAGTGCCTTTCCAACCCACAAACTGTATCTGAAACTCAGCTTACGGAAAACACCATATGCATCCATGCGCCGGACCCAACCAAGCAATTGTTATTCAAACTTATGTCTTATGTAAAATTCGACGTGCAGCTTTAAACGCTCAAGCTCATCCTATGAAATATATTTGACTTTAAACATTTAAACATATAATCCACCCCGTATATGTCACCGTGTCATCGTGCCCCAACCCCTCGCAAATCCCCCCCAACTGGGATTTACATAACTGACACTACCCCCTCCCTCGACTCCCACCCCGTCTGAGTCACCCACAACCTCAAGTGTTAACTCAATTCAGCTGATTCAGACTTTTACGCCCCCGACCCCCCTACCTCCCTCCCGTAGACGTGTCACGAAAAGTCAACTAGTATACCCGCCAGTTTCTCTACCGACGGTGCTTATTTCATGAATGCATGATATTGATTAGTTGTATATGTCACAGCCAGACCTACAGCGATGTCAGTGCCGTATACAGTGTCAACACCGCCGTGCTGACGGCGCACGTGTGTCACTAACACAGCTCCTTGCTTACCTATCCATTGCCACTTGATAAAAATCAACACACATGCCACTCCCAGCATAGTGGGAGACTTTACGCCACCCATTCACCAACGCAAGCAATGAATGAAAGCACAAAACAGCCGAACATCCTGCTTCACAAATGAAATCGTTCTATCCACGTTAAAAAAAACGCTTCTGCAATTTTCCGGGAAATGCATTCACCCTAAAACATTCAAACTACACTAGCAAGGTCGGTTTAAATTTGTACATTTCACTGAAATGTACACATTCATGGTGTGAATTCACATACACGATTTCAGCATGGAGTGCTACGTATTTGTCGATTTCAGTGCAATACACACCATGGTATACATCACTCGTTATAATTGCAACGTACCTGTCGCTACATCTTGTATACTACTCGAGAGCTTGCACGAAGCCGCCCCTCGAGACACTTACAAACACTTTGATATATACATGCTATGTACAACTGTCACTCACCTGCTTTACAAGGATCCATGTATAAATCATTAGAAGTCCTGTGAGGTATCACAGATGTCGCCTGCGCGAAGGAAGAGGACCTCGCACTCATGTCAATATCAAAATATACACATATCACCGTTTGTAAAAACAATAGCCAATGTGGTATATGCCCCATTGTGAAAATGATACGAAGTTACACACAAATCCCGTTGAAACCTCCCGATGAAATGAGTAAGTTAAAAGGTCCAGTTGCACTGTTATGAGTCTGGGTATGTGTCATTGATTTACCCTAACTCGTGTTCAGCTTTATATAGCATATCCAAGACATCCCCGTCTGCTAGACCCACAAGCTTTCAAGACGTGAGTGTAATCCCTCGGTTCGAGCACGCATACGCATGAAACCCAGTCGACCTGTCAATATCAATTAATGCTGACCAACCAGACAGGAGGGGGCGGGACTAGGCGATGACACACGTTTAGGCGATTAGCGATTGTCGATTTCACAATTTGGAGTGAATGAAGTGATCAGCGAGGCTTTGTTTCTCCACTGTTGTTTAATCTCGCAGTTTTTATTGGACTTGACGGATTTCTACAGTGGTTTAGAAGGAATCTCTTAGCAGACCGACGAAAGAGTGTTTAGCTTTCGATGCCTGCCATGGAGATTCACGAATCACGAGAGCAAGATAATGAGTCCGGTTTGATAATTGACCACGAGTTAATTAGTCTGTCATGCTGTTTTATTAATAATCAATAGTACAGCTCATCTCGATTACGGGCCGCGAAATCCTCACGTTTCGTAAATAATACAGGAAGCCTAATGGTTGTAATATCATGTAACCACTGCTATTATTTGCATACAGCATGTCGCATATAATACTATCAAAATAAGTAAAAGAGTTACTGTTGAGAGTGAGGGAGAGGGAGTGGGAGAGAAAGAGAGAGAGAAAAAGAAAGAGAGAGAGAGTTAATAAGAGAAAGACAGATTGAAAGAGAGTAAGGGATACAGAAAGTGAGTGAATGAAAATGTGTGTACGTTATTGGGAATTTGTGTAAGTAAATGGGAATTTCAGCAAGTGAATGAGAACGTGAATTAGAATGTGTGTAAATAAATGAGAATGTGTTTAAGTTAACGAGAATGTGTGTAAGTTAATGAGAATGTGTACACGAATGAGAATGTGTGTCCGTGAATGACTATGTGTAAGTGAATGAGAATGTGAATGAGAATGTGTGTAAGTGAATGAGAATGTGTGTAAGTGAATGAGAATGTGTGTAAGTGAATGAGAATGTGTATAAGGAAATGAGAATGTGTGCAAGTGAATGAGAATGTGAATGAGAATGTATGTAAGTGAATGAAAATGTGAATGAGAATGTATGTAAGTGAATGAGAATGTGAATGAGAATGTATGTAAGTGAATGAGAATGTGTGTAAGTGAATGAGAAAATGTGTAAGTGAATGAGAATGTGTGTAAGTGAATGAGAATGTGTGTAAGTGAATGAGAATGTGAATGAGAATGTGTGTAAGTGAATGAGAATGTATGTAAGTGAATGAGAATGTGTGTAAGTGAATGAGAATGTGTGTAAGTGAATGAGAATGTGTATAAGGAAATGAGAATGTGTGTAAGTGAATGAGAATGTGTGTAAGTGAATGAGAATGTGTGCAAGTGAATGAGAATGTGTGTTAGTGAATGAGAATGTGTGTAAGAAAATGAGAATGTATGTAAGTGAATGAGAATGTGTGTAAGTGAATGGGAATGTGTGTAAGTGAATGGGAATGTGTGTAAGTGAATGAAAATGTGAATGAGAATGTATGTAAGTGAATGAGAATGTGTGCAAGTGAATGAGAATGTGTGTAAGTGATGGAGGATGTGTGTAAGTGAATGAGAATGCGTGTAAGTGAATGAGGATGTGTGTAAGTGAATGAGAATGTGTGTAAGTGAATGAGAATGTATGTAAGTGAATGAGAATGTGTGTAATTGAATGAGAATGTATGTAAGTGAATGAGAATGTGTGTAAGTGAATGAGGATGTGTGTAAGTGAATGAGAATGCGTGTAAGTGAATGAGAATGTGCGTAAGTGAATGAGAATGTGTATAAGGAAATGAGAATGTTTGTAAGTGAATGAGAATGTGTGTAAGTGAATGAGAATGTGTGTAAGTGAATGAGAATGTGTGTAAGTGAATGAGAATGTGTGAATGTGAATGAGGATGTGTGTAAGTGAATGAGAATGTGTGTAAGTGAATGAGAATGTGTGCAAGTGAATGAGAATGTGTGTAAGTGAATTAACATGTGAATATGAATGTATGTAAGTGAATGAGAATGTGTGTAAGTAAATGAGAATGTGTGCAAGTGAATGAAAATGTGAATGAGAATGTATGTAAGTGAATGAGAATGTGTGTAAGTGAATGAGAATGTGTGCAAGTGAATGAGAATGTGTGTAAGGGAATGAAAATGTGTGTAAGTGAATGAGAATGTGTGTAAGTGAATGAGAATGCGTGTAAGTGAATGTGAATGAGAATGTGTGTAAGTGAATGAGAATGTGTGTAAGTGAATGAGAATGTGTGTAAGTAAATGAGAAAATGTGTAAGTGAATGAGAATGTGTGTAAATGAATGAGTATGTGTGTAATGAATGAGTATGTGTGTGAGTGAATGAGAATGTGTGTAAGCTAATGAGAATGTGTGTAAGTGAATGAGAATGTGTGTAAGGAAATGAGAATGTATGTAAGTGAATGAGAATGTGTGTAAGTGAATGAGAATGTGTGTAAGTGAATGAAAATGTGAATGAGAATGTATGTAAGTGAATGAGAATGTGTGCAAGTGAATGAGAATGTGTGTAAGTGAATGAGGATGTGTGTAAGTGAATGATAATGCGTGTAAGTGAATGAGGATGTGTGTAAGTGAATGAGAATGTGTGTAAGTGAATGAGAATGTGTGTAAGTGAATGAGAATGTGTGTAATTGAATGAGAATGTATGTAAGTGAATGAGAATGTGTGTAAGTGAATGAGGATGTGTGTAAGCGAATGAGAATGCGTGTAAGTGAATGAGAATGTGTGTAAGTGAACGAGAATGTGTATAAGGAAATGAGAATGTGTGTAAGTGAATGAGAATGTGTGTAAGTGAATGCGAATGTGTGTAAGTGAATGTGAATGAGAATGTGTGTAAGGGAATGAGAATGTGTGCAAGTGAATGAGAATGCGTGTAAGTGAATGAGAATGTGTGCAAGTGAATGAAAATGTGAATGAGAATGTATGTAAGTGAATGAGAATGTGTGTAAGTGAATGAGAATGTATGTAAGTGAATGAGAATGTGTGTAAGGGAATGAAAATGTGTGTAAGTGAATGAGAATGTGTGTAAGTGAATGAGAATGCGTGTAAGTGAATGTGAATGAGAATGTGTGTAAGTGAATGAGAATGTGTGTAAGTGAATGAGAATGTGTGTAAGTAAATGAGAAAATGTGTAAGTGAATGAGAATGTGTGTAAATGAATGAGTATGTGTGTAATGAATGAGTATGTGCGTGAGTGAATGAGAATGTGTGTAAGTGAATGAGAAAATGTGTAAGTGAATGATAAAAAGAGTGTGTGTGAATGAGAATGTGTGTAAGTGAATGAGAAAATGTGTAAGTGAATGAGAATGTGTGTAAGTGAATGAGAATGTGTGTAAGTGAATGAGTATGTGTGTAAGTTAATGACAATGTGCGAAAGTGAATGATAGTGTGTAAGTGAATGGGAATGTGTGTAAGTGAATGAGAATTTGTGTATTTTTTTAAGTGAATGAGAATTAGTGTACGTGAATGAGAATGTGTGTAAGTGATGGAGAAGGTGTGTAAGTGAATGAGAATGTGTGTAAGTCAATGAGAATGTGTGTAAGTGAATGAGAATGTGTGTCAGTGAATGAGAATGTGTGTCAGTGAATGAAAATGTGTTAGTGAATAAGATTGTGTGTATTTTTTTAAGTGAATTAGAATTGGTGTACGTGAATGAGAATGTATGTATGTGACGGAGAAGGTGTGTAAGTGAATGAGAACGTGTGTAAGTGAATGAGAATGTGTGTAAGTGCGTCATTTAGGCAAATGGCTGTGCGAGAGAGGGGGAATAATGCGTGGAAGTGAATTTCTACAAGTGAAGTTGCGTTTTAAGGTGGTACTGCATCTGTGTGAGAGCGAGAATGATGTGTGTAAACGTAGTAAAACTCCTTTGTTAAAGAATTAGAACGCGTGTAACTGAAAGGGAATATGTGTGTTTTATGAGGAGATAAAAAGTGAATTATTGAAATGACTAAAACACATGTATGCCCGAGAAATATATAACTTATGCGAGAGAGATTTCGTGACGAAACGGAAAGGAATTGTGTCTGAGATACCATCTGATGCGTAAGAAAAGGACTGCGAAGAAAATACGAGTTGTGACAGGAAGAGAATGTTGGTCAAAGAAGAACGTGGGAATAACAGTGAGAAGGCAATGAATTATATGACATAAGATGTGTACAGGGATGGCGATAAGACAGAAACACAAGAGAACGTACACTAATTATGTCAGATCATCCAGTTTGCATCGCATCTATTATGCAACTTCAGGCAACGCCTATTACATCAGAGACACAATCCAATAAGTAAACCAATTATGTATTCTCTCGAGTATTGCGTCACTGGGCCCTCGAAGTGACAGATGAGCAAGCAGATGGGCGTGGTTGGGGTGTATGACTTATCAAATGAACCTGACATAATGCAAACCCTCACAATTGAGGTATTGCCTCGTCGGCTCTGCCTTTGTGCCGCGCTTGTGTGCAATAGATTGTTTGATACCAAGTGTCTCTTGAGATATTATATGTTCTTTACCATCAATCAAAACCTGTACATCTTGTGGCCTTCTCTTGGTATAATAATATAGGTAGGCAAGTTAAGATTGTTTAACTTAGGGCAATGCGCGCTGAGCTTTAACAAAGAACCCACCACTATGAATGATAGGATTACGTTTGGATATTAGTTACGTTTTATGTTTGTTTGTTTTGTAGTCATCCATTATCCAGATACACTGGTGGATTATATATAATATTTACATATTCCTTACATCGTCGGGACACAACTAACAACATTATGATGTGTAAATATTTGCTTTAGATGCATCCTAGGGCAGGCATGATGATATATTGTCAAGTTATACATGTCCTGTTTTTCTTACCTAAAGAGATTTGGGGTTTTAGACTACCTATATTTTGACACAAGTTACTTTTTCAACCTTAAACGTTTACAAAACAAATAGTTTCATAATAATCTTAGAGAAGAAATTGCTTTTTGAAAACCTGATCTAAGCGTCGACACAACCTTTATAACGTAGATACGTGACTCAGGTAGGTAGCGCATGTTGAATGTCTCTCCTGAAGGCCCTAATTGGACATACACGAATGTGTTCTCCCGACGTTGCACGTCGTTAATATCATAGGGATCAACCATTTCATAACGAACATCTGAGCTCACCAGAAAGCCTGGATATATCCAATATACAATTTATGTACCTCATTCCTGTTCTCACTCGTCCCGAAGTCTGTCTGTTCTCACTCGTTATTAAGTCTGTCTGTTCTCACTCGTCCTTAAGTCTGTCTGTTCTCACTCGTCCTTGAATCTGTCTGTTCTCACTCGCCCTTGAATCTGTCTGTTCTCACTCGTCTTTGAATCTGTCTGTTCTCACTCGTCTTTGAATCTGTCTGTTCTCACTCGTTCTGGAATCTGTCTGTTCTCACTCGTCCCGAAGTCTGTCTGTTCTCACTCGTTATTAAGTCTTTCTGTTCTTACTCGTCCTTGCACTGTCTGTTCTCACTCGTCCTGGAATCTGTCTCTTCTCACTCGTCTTTGAATCTGTCTGTTCTCATTTGTCCTGGAATCTGTCGGTTCTCACTCGTCCTTGAATCTGTCTGTTCTTACTCGTCCTTGAATCTGTCTGTTCTCACTCGTCCTTAAGTCTCTCTGTTCTCACTCGTCCTTGAATCTGTCTGTTCTCACCCGTCCTTGAATCTGTCTGTTCTCACTCGTCCTTAAGTCTCTCTGTTCTCACCCGTCCTTGAATCTGTCTGTTCTCAGCCGTCCTTAAGTCTCTCTGTTCTCACTCGTCTTTGAATCTGTCTGTTCTCACCCGTCCTGGAAAGTGTCTGTTCTCACTCGTCCTTAAGTCTCTCTGTTCTCACTCGTCCTTGAATCTGTCTGTTCTCACTCGTCCATTAGTCTATTTGTTCTCATTCGTCCTTGAATCTGTCTGTTCTCACTCGTCCTTAATTCTCTCTGTTCTCACTCGTCCTTGAATCTGTCTGTTCTCACTCGTCCATAAGTCTGGCTGTTCTCACTCGTCCATTAGTCTATTTGTTCTCATTCGTCCTTGAATCTGTCTGTTCTCACGTGTGCGTAAGTTTGTTCTCACCCGTCCGTTATTCTTTGTGTTCCCATTGTTCGCGACATCATCTCTTTCTGATATCAATGTATCAGTTTTCATATTTTGTCCAAAATACCGGGACTGTGTGGTAACTGGTGTGACAGCCTTGTGGTTAAAGCGTTTGTTCATCAATCCGAAGACCCGGGTTCGATTCCCCACAAGGTTACAATTTATCAACCCCATTTATGGTGTCCCCATTTGTGGTGTTTCTAGAACTCACGAACAGTGGCGTAAAGTCATACCCACTCAAAACCTCATGATGTCAGATCCAGCTTAGAATTGGGATGCAAGATGCGACTAACGGGATCGGTTGGTCAGTCACGGTGACTCATTTGATGCATGTCATGCTCATGATGTCAATCACTGGATAGTCTAGTCCAGACTCGATTTTTTCCAGACCGCTGTCATAGAGCTAGAATATTGCTGAGTACGACGGTAACAACAAACAAAACATTACTCACGTCGCCACCCAACTCTCACCCATCTCGAACGCTTCAGGAATAGCCTTGTATGGTACGGTTAGCTTGTAGATTTCGCTAATCGTCGAGCTGTATTTTACAACCTGGAAAAAATGTCCTCATTTACTTAAATAGTTTGTCGAGGATAAAAAGCGAGGTAAGTCATAAGAGGTGCACGCTGACAACCGCTTTAAGTAAATACAGTGACGTCCTACGCGAGGCCAGAACGCTCACACCCCCTCAACTCGGATACACGGGGGACTCCCAGTCCACATCAGTCATGCCGCCGTGTCTAGGATGTGTCCTGGGGCTGTCGACAGAGTATACAGGCTGACCGCTAGGGGAGTACTTGTAACATGTATTGGCTGCCCTGGAGTATAGGGACTACTTCATATGTAGTGGCAGGCCTGCAGTATTGGGGAGACATACGAGTATCACATAGCTGCAGGCTCAAGAGTAAACGGGGTACGTCTCATGTAGTCGTCGGCCCTATAGTATTGGGGAGACATACGAGTATCACATAGCGGCAGGCTCAAGAGTAAACGGGGTACGTCTCATGTAGTCGTCGGCCTGTAGTGTAGGAGGTCTCATTTAGAGGTCGGCCTGTAGTGTAGGAGGTCCCATGTAGTCGTCGGCCTGGAGTGTAGGAGGTCTCATGTAGAGGTCGGCCTGGAGTGTAGGAGGTCTCATGTAGAGGTCGGCCTGGAGTGTAGGAGGTCTCATGTAGAGGTCGGCCTGGAGTGTAGGAGGTCCCATGTAGAGGTCGGCCTGGAGTATAGGAGGTCCCATGTAGAGGTCGGCCTGGAGTGTAGGAGGTCTCATTTAGAGGTCGGCCTGGAGTGTAGGAGGTCTCATGTAGAGGTCGGCCTGGAGTGTAGGAGGTCTCATGTAGAGGTCGGCCTGGAGTGTAGGAGGTCTCATGTAGAGGTCGGCCTGGAGCGTAGGAGGTCTCATGTAGAGGTCGGCCTGGAGTGTAGGAGGTCCCATGTAGAGGTCGGCCTGGAGTGTAGGAGGTCTCATGTAGAGGTCGGCCTGGAGTGTAGGAGGTCCCATGTAGAGGTCGGCCTGGAGTGTAGGAGGTCTCATGTAGAGGTCGGCCTGGAGTGTAGAAGGTCTCATGTAGAGGTCGGCCTGGAGTGTAGAAGGTCCCATGTAGAGGTCGGCCTGGAGTGTAGGAGGTCTCATGTAGAGGTCGGCCTGGAGTGTAGGAGGTCTCATGTAGAGGTCGGCCTGGAGTGTAGGAGGTCTCATGTAGAGGTCGGCCTGGAGTGTAGGAGGTCTCATGTAGAGGTCGGTCTGGAGTGTAGGAGGTCCCATATAGAGGTCGGCCTGGAGTGTAGGAGGTCTCATGTAGAGGTCGGCCTGGAGTGTAGGAGGTCCCATGTAGAGGTCGGCCTGGAGTGTAGGAGGTCCCATGTAGAGGTCGGCCTGGAGTGTAGGAGGTCTCATGTAGAGGTCGGCCTGGAGTGTAGGAGGTCTCATGTAGAGGTCTATATTAGTATACATACTACTATATAGTATATTACTTTATTAGTTACCTAGCAGACTATGTTAGTTACCTGTGATAGTCTGCTGAGCTCCAGTGAAATAGGTAACTGATATAGTCTGATGGGGTCCGGTGTTATAGGTAACCAATATAGTCTGCTAGGGCCCAGTGATATAGGTAACTAATATAGTCTGATGGGGTTTAGCGATATAAATAGTTTAGTACCCGTGAAGATGCTGGTTAGAATTGATATCCATGCAGCAACCCGGGAAGCTACTAAATGGATCGGGTGGTCAGACTCGCTGACTTGGTTGATGCATCGTATCCCAATTGCGTAGATCGATGCTCATGATGTTAATCACTGGATTGTCAGGTCCAGAATCCAGTATTTACAGACCGCCGTCATATAACGGGAACATTGTGTGTGACTTTAAACAACAAACAGTGTAGATAACTGATATAGTCTGATTGGGTTTAGTTACATTGGTAACCAATATAATCTCCGTGGTTTAGTAATATAGATGACTAATATAATCTCCTTGGGTGTAGTTAACTAATATAATCTGCTGGGGTTTAGTGGTATACTGTACAGTGTTATGCAAAGGTTATTGAGTACTTTCATAACATCATACGGCAGAGGTGTTTACAAGGAGAACCTTAACGACACCCTGAATAGGTTCCGGGAATATAATCACCCTATTCTGTTATATTGTAAACATTTAATATTTTGTCATATGCTACTCGTCAGTTAAGCCACCCCAAAAGTGACGTGCAAGATTCAGGATCTAGGGTATCAGATTGCATTGAACAAGGCGCAGCAAAAAGAAATTAACACAATCGTTGTTACGTATCCTTGACTTTATACAAAAATCCATCAATACACGCCTCCGTTGTGGATATGGTACAGTCACAGACACAGATGTAGGTACAGTCATAGACACATATGTAGGTACAGTCATAGACACAGATATAGATACAGTCATAGACACATATGTAGGTACAGTCATAGACACAGATGTAGGTACAGTCATAGACACATATGTAGGTACAGTCATAGACACAGATGTAGGTACAGTCATGGACACATATGCAGGTACAGTCATAAACACATATGCAGGTACAGTCATAGACACAGATGTAGGTACAGTCATAGACACAGATGTAGGTACAGTCATAGACACATATGCAGGTACAGTCATAGGCACAGATGGAGGTACAGTCATAGATACAGATGTAGGTACAGTCATAGACACAGATGGAGGTACAGTCATAGACACAGATGTAGGTACAGTCATAGGCACAGATGCAGGTACAGACATAGACACAGATGGAGGTACAGTCATAGATACAGATGTAGGTACAGTCATAGACACAGATGGAGGTACAGTCATAGACACAGATGGAGGTACAGTCATAGATACAGATGTAGGTACAGTCATAGACACATATGCAGGTACAGTCATAGACACAGATGGAGGTACAGTCATATATACAGATGTAGGTACAGTCATAGACAGACGTATAGGCAGACACAGATGTAGGTACTGTCATTAACACACAGCAGGTACAGTCATAAACACATATGTAGGTACAGGCATAGACACATATGTAGGTACAGTCATAGACACATATGCAGGTACAGGCATAGGCACAGACGTATAGGCAGACACAGATGTAGGTACAGTCATGGAACCATATGTAGGTACAGTCATCAACACATATGCAGGTACAGTCATAGACACATATGCAGGTACAGTCATACACACAGAAGTATAGGCAGACACATAGACACATATGTAGGTACAGTCATACACACAGATGTATAGGCAGACACATAGACACGGATGTAGGTACAGTCATACACACAGACGTATAGGCAGACACATAGACACAGATGTATAGGCAGACACATAGACACATATGTAGGTACAGTCATAGACACATATGTAGGTACAGTCATACACACAGATGTATAGGTAGACACATAGACACAGAAGTATAGGTAGACACATAGACACATATGTAGGTACAGTCATACACACAGACGTATAGGCAGACACATAGACACATATGTAGGGACAGTCATACACACAGATGTATAGGTAGACACATAGACACAGATGTAGGGACAGTCATACACACAGATGTATAGGTAGACACATAGACACAGATGTAGGTACAGTCATAGACACATATGTAGGTACAGTCATACACACAGACGTATAGGCAGACACATAGGCACATATGTAGGTACAGTCATACACACAGATGTATAGGCAGACACATAGACACAGATGTAGGTACAGTCATAGACACATATGTAGGTACAGTCATACACACAGATGTATAGGCAGACACATAGGCACGGATGTAGGGACAGTCATACACACAGATGTATAGGCAGACACATAGGCACGGATGTAGTTACAGTCATAGACACAGACGTATAAGTAGACACATAGACACAGATGTAGGTACAGTCATACACACAGATGTATAGGCAGACACATAGGCACGGATGTAGTTACAGTCATAGACACAGACGTATAAGTAGACACATAGACACAGATGTAGGTACAGTCATACACACAGACGTATAGGGAGACACATAGACACAGATGTAGGGACAGTCATAGACACAGACGTATAAGTAGACACATAGACACAGATGTAGGGACAGTCATAGACACAGACGTATAAGTAGACACATAGACACAGGTGTAGGTACAGTCATACACACAGACGTATAGGGAGACACATAGACACAGATGTAGGGACAGTCATAGACACAGACGTATAAGTAGACACAGATGTAGGGACAGTCATAGACACAGACGTATAAGTAGACACATAGACACAGATGTAGGGACAGTCATAGACACAGACGTATAAGTAGACACATAGACACAGATGTAGGGACAGTCATAGACACAGACGTATAAGTAGACACATAGACACAGATGTAGGGACAGTCATAGACACAGACGTATAAGTAGACACATAGACACAGATGTAGGGACAGTCATAGACACAGACGTATAAGTAGACACATAGACACAGATGTAGGGACAGTCATAGACACAGACGTATAAGTAGACACATAGACACAGATGTAGGGACAGTCATAGACACAGACGTATAAGTAGACACATAGACACAGATGTAGGGACAGTCATACACACAGACGTATAGGGAGACACATAGACACAGATGTAGGTATGTCCACCGTAGCAAAAAGATGTTGGGATGTGGTTTCTGGGAACGACACAAATGCAAGTGTAGACACATACATAGATATTCACAGACATATTTTCAGACAGAGACAGAAGCACAGAACGACGCTCTTGATATCACTTCTTTCATCTACATCTTGACCAGCATTTAGTCTATGAAATTTTATATTACACAATGCCCTTCTTGACTCTAAAAATAATTTAAAAAATTCCCGATACTGATTTCATAGAGCTAGCGAGAGCTTGCTTTTGTATACGTTTCTAGATTTATTTTTTTTCTCATAGAATAAATATATTCCACACTCATGGTTCTGGACGAATCTACATCCTACTACACATAATACTACAAGCTCCACGCCTACTATTGTTGAAGTGCATTTCACATACACAACAGATCTCAGTGTGGACCAGTCAGCTCGTAGACTTGCACAAGTCACTAAGGCAATAATCATTAGTTTACATGATAATTTCTAGATTATGTATAATTTATGAACACGCTGTCCCCATAAGATACATGAGTCCACATATCTAGACTTAAGGAGGTTAGAATTGCTACACATCCACGGACTTATCTTTCAGTATAGCCTTGGAGCAAGGCTACCAGCTACGCGCCACCATGCCATCACCTACTATAGTTGCTTGCGTTCTACGGGAAATAGTTCTCACCTCAGTGTAAAAATAAGTTCCCTCAGGAGACAAAAATGCTTATGAGCAATTGCTATGTGCAAAACCTTCGTACACTATTTGAGCAGATATCCTGTTGATCTAAGCAATAGATGATCAGTGTATTCAATACTTATATCTTGGTGTAAATTAAACTATCTCAGTACGTTTACCACGTGTATGTATACCTTGATTTCACCTGGTGTGTCGTATGTTACAAAGTAGATGCGACAACGCTCGACAGCAATGTGTTAACATAGCGTGGCACATTGAATATCCAGCAAGTAGGTTGAACTAAAGAGGTATGGGCTATGCTTCAGTCTCTGATGACACATTCCAAGCCCATAGATTTTAGTAGCTTGAGGTTGTCTTGTGCAATGGCACCCTGAACATGCAATCTGTGTGAGCAAGCCATTTTGTAATGTTTTAATAAGGTTTGCCATGATATATGAATATCACAGGTCTTCGTTAGTTACACAAACTACCACATTCTCATGACGCCACGCTACATTCATTTATAATCCCTTTCCTTTACCTTCTTTGTGTTATAGATCGAATACCATCCATTTATCGTATCATCGTTAACAGCAACATAACAAGAGGGGTGTCATGCAAGGGTGCCCTTTGCTTCCGCCTCGATCTATATTAATGACTTTATAATATGGAATTGCGTAATAATATTGACACACGCCAGAATATAAGGAATGGGATTAGCACAATGTCATTTTGTAAATGAATAGGGCATTATAACCATAAAAGATTGTATTACCCGCCCGCTTTATAAATGTCATATTGTGGACAAACACGGTTTCATACAAACCTCTCTGTTATGCGTTATATCTCAATATTCTCACATGGTTTACCGTATTCACCGAAGGAAGATTAAAACTCCTAAAAAATGTTTTGAGTGTTTATATTGAAATTATTTTCCGCCCTAGTAGCCTGTATTTGTGATATCAGGGCGTGATTTGTGACCCAGCAGGCACCCGTTAAGGTACATTTTAGGTTTTACTTTCTTGTGAATTGTGTTTGTTCACATTTGATCAAAATCCGAAGTTGAGTGAAGTGTTAAGTATATGATAAGCATTACACTACAGGAG